CCTCTTTGTCCCTTCTCTGGGGGTTGTACCCGGAGGTGGAGGGGCCAGGCCTCACCAGGGAGGGATTCGAGCCGGGTTGTCCAGCTGCTTAAGGTTGAAGGCATGCTTTGACACCTGCCGTACTTCCCCATCCCAGGCCTGCACCTCCTGCTTTCGAGAGGCTGAGTCGGCTGAGAGTAGGGCCTCCACTGCACTGGTTACCTGCGGGAAGCGGAGGGTCAGAGACAGTACTCAGCCCCACAGTCCCCTCTAGCCTTCAGTCTTCAGCTTTCTCAGTGCTTGGCCAAGACATCACTGCTCTGGCCCCACGTGCCCTAAAATCTTTGGGAGGGTGGGAAGGTATTCATACCCGATCTCTGACAAAGTCAGGCAGTCCCCCCAACCCATCCCGGGCAATCTCCAGGTAATCTGGCAAAATGACAATTTTCACATCCTCATCGTATTCAAACTTGTCCTTGTTGAGGTCAAACCCGCCTTCGATACCTGGTGAGACAGAGAAGAAGGAGATAAGGACAATGACCACAGGTAAATGTCATTCTTCTGACATAGCACTTCACTTTGTCCCTTCCAGAGCTCTAGGGCTACTGATCAGGCCCATTCTTTTGGGGTTCTCCTAGTACCTCTGAGAGTGAGAAAGACCCACTCAGGGAGAACAGGATTGCAGTGGTGCTCACCAATAGCCAGCCGGGTAGGCTTCTTTCGAGGGGGGTCTCCAGTGCCTGAAGTGGTATCCTCCTCTTTCTGTAATGAGGCAGGAGGGGCAGGACCAGTAATGAGCACCAAGGAAGGGACAAAGGGGGAAGAGAAACAGGATGGAGTGGGTTAATCTCACAAGAGAATGGAGCTAAAAACGTGCTGAATTTTAATGACACTAACAGAAATAAGTGAGAGGGGGAAATTTAGACCTATAGAAGGTCAGAACAAAACACAGATTCAAAATGGGGGCCAAGTGGGATATGCCTGCATGTCCCCAGGCCTTGCTCCAGCCCATCCCTACCGGGCGCTGGGTCCGCCGGAGGTGCAAGTAGACTCGCTGGCCCGTCTTGTTGAAATGTCTCTCCACATACTGTTTCCCAAAGCCCAGGAATGTGTTCATACAGATGTAGAGGCCGCCCTCAGATTCCTGCAGGACAGGGGGCAGGGGAGGAAACACAGGGAGGATGAAGCATGGCCGAGTGAGGAAACCAAGACCTGGGCTCAGAAACTGCTGGTTTCAAGAAAAAAGGTTCTGTTCTCTAAGACTGAGTGGCTCTTGGCAAGTCATTTCGCCTTTCAGGACCTAGTACATGGTTGAGATTCTTCTCATCCTCCTATGACTTTGATGACAACCAACAAGGACACCAGGAGTTGAATAACAACTATCATTCACCATTCCTCTTCTTGCTCCTTCTTTGGGCTCTGGAGCCCTCTAATCAACTGCAGAGAACCCCTCCCCCCACACACACACACCACCACCACCACCACCACCACCACCACCACCACCACCACACACACACACACACCCCTCTTCTCTGGAGCTAAGAAACCCAGAAAGTAAATGGGGATCAAATACTGTGGGCTTTCAGTGTCAGAGATTACATTCAGAGGGACCTTTCCTCAGAAAGGAAAAGACCTGTATGTCGGACATATTACCTAAAAAAGGGACACCATAACAAACCTTCTCGATCTCCAAGATTCGGAAAAGCTACCAGACTGGAAAAGCAGAAATTCCAGCACTTGAACAGTATATCTAACCCCAAGAGCTTGCCAGCAAATCAGATTTTCCTTTACCACACTGCATTAGGTACTCAAATCCTGGTCCACACTGAGTCTTCTCCCTCCTCCCCTGCTG